GGGGGGAGCAGGGAGGGGGAAGGCCCCGCCAGGCGAGGAGTTTTCTTTTTTGGTGTGAGGGGGAGGAGGAGGAGCCAAAAGGGCCGTAGCGCCGCGTCAAGTTCCGGATGGACCACTGTCCTCCTTGAAATAGAGTTGCTCCGAGCGGAACGTCGGCGACACAACCTCAAAGCTGAAGAAAGCATCTCGATTTGGTCGTGGTGTTCCCGAGTGAAAGAGACCTTGGGCAGATCGGAAGTCTGAGAAATGAGGCGGAATTTCAATGGAATTCTGCTGGCCCATAGGCTCGACCGCTCAGCGAACGATTCCTTCAGAGTCCATGCAGCAGCTTCGTCTATTGTTTCGCCTGCAAAGGACGAGAAGGGAATCCAACCCCCCACGGTAGGGGGAGGGGGGGGAAGGGCTACCCTCGGGCCCAAACCGACACCATCAGCTTAATGCAACTCGCAATGGATGTATTAGATGCCGGTTGTGATTGTAACCACTAAGCCTGCTAAGCCGTTTCAGGTATATAACTCACCCCTTCCCATGCCCAGAAGCAGCCTTGCCAATCTTTTGCCCAAGACCCCTAGAATGACACAAGCAGTTGGCACAAAGTCCAAGCTTTTGCCCAACCCAGAATGGAAAAACCAACCAAGGCACATGCTCCAACCAACCATTGACGGGGGTCTGTTTCTTGTTTGGACAAGTTGTGGGGTAACTCAAAGCCATTCTTTTTCTCCCCCCCTTTCACCTTCGCAAATGACTTTGGTGTGTTTCATCTGAGCCTACCACGTAGATTTGGTTCTAAGCTTGCCAGAGAATGACTGGTGGTTCTGGTGGGTACTTTGACCGGTACTCAACGCCAGGTACTGGTGAGTACTGCTGGGTTGTTTCCCCTACTTCGACCGCCCACGCCCCGGAGCCGGAGGTGGCGAAGCCGCTCGGAGCTGGCGGCCTCCGACTTCGTGCTGCGGCTCACGGAGCTTTTTTTAATATTTCTTTTTCACCTCGGCCGAAGTTCCCAGGTGGTTTCCCATGGGCTCCCAACACGGCAAAATTTCGGTACCACTGGATTGGCTTAACGTTTTGGCAAAACGGGAGCCACAGAACGGCCCTCGCGGCTGAAGAAGTCAGGGAGGTGGTGGAGCCATGGCTTCCCCACAAAACGGGACCATCTCTTTTCAGCGCCGAAGAGTTGTTTGGCTTTGTCTGAGTTGCGTCCTTTTTTTGGGGGGAAGTTGGGGTGACTCGTGCTTCTTTTTTCGGGATCCCGTTTTTTGTTGTTGTTTTTTTGGGAGACCAAAAGGACAAAACCGGAGTGCCATTTTGGGGGGTCCTTCTAAGACACGCCCAAAAATACGAACCCCTGCAGCTTATAGACAATTCGTGGGTGAACTTCGCCCGAAGTTGGAAGGACCCGGAACTGAGCCGTTTCTTGTCCCTTCCAGTTCACTCCCAACCCTGCTGATTCCCTACCGATCTTTTCTTCAGGTGGGGGCAAAATGGGTTTAAACACCTCGGCCCATTTCGAGGACACGGTTTGAACAAGGGGTGAGTTTTACACGTGTAGCAGGGGGTTAATGTCGAATCTGTTACCCGTGGGTTTGACCAGGGTTTCATTTTTTTATCTCCCAAGGTAGACGCTTGATCTCTCCTCTTTTTATCCTTCTTTTCCGGTTCCATGTTTGTATTTGGGAGGGTAACCCTTGTTTTAATGTTTTGGTGATACCTGCTGGACCCATTGTTGGTTTAGCCTCGGGCTTGGCCTTGAATTTGGAGCCTTTGGACATGTTTTTTCCTTTGCCCCTCGGAACTCCCTTTGCTTTTGCTCCCTACTTTTGGTTTCTCGCTTCGGTTTAGCTCTTCTTGGAACATGTGTTGTTTGCACTCTTCGAGCATCTTTTAGCTTACCCCTCACTGGTGTGGGTTCGAGATATGCTTTGCAGAAAACTGCTTTTATCTAACTGAGAAAGCTGTTGCCCTTGTTCAAGCTTGGCCTGGGGAACCAAAATACTTTGGCCCTTGCACTCTTTGGACCTTGTGGCTTCCCGTAGGAACCAAGATGTGTTTTTGGAAAGCTGTTTCATCTACCCTCGTCCACAAACACGGAACCTCACGGGGGCGGGGGGGGGGGGGAAGGCTGGAAGACCATTTGCCGATTCCACGTCGGTGGATCGGTGGACAGCAAGAGTAGCTTTGGACAGTTGCGCTTGGTTTTTTCTTGGGTTTCCCTGGCGGTTGGAAACTGAACTCCAACCACACCTGATCAACGTTGGCCGACGGCTGGAGCTTTGCTTTCTGACCATGGCATTTTGGGCTTTGGACATTCAGAGAAGGAAGCCTCAAAAAAGAGTCTCCCAAAGGGGGGGGGAATCCGAATCTTTCTTTTCGGGAGAGTACTGCCCCACAGTGTTTCTGCTCTAGGGGCTCGGTGCCCCGTTTGAATGGAATCGGGCTGCTTTAAGGGAACACCTAAAGAAACCATCCCGTTGTGTTTTGGGGTTCCAACGTAATGTAAGACACACCCCGCCAGCAAAACGTTGCTCTTGGCTCTAGCAGGAGCAGGCCGATGGACGGGTCACCACTGGGGACGAGCTGGCGGACCGCCACCTGAGGCACATCAACGAGCAAAGGAGATGGGGGCCTGGGGGAAATCGGAATGGAGAAGAGAGAATGCTGGGGCTTACGGTTGGGGGCTGCGGTTGGGGCATGGGCTTTCTGATGGGCCGCTTTTTGGACCGAGTGGAGGGCCCTGACACCTTTTCCTGTAGCTCCCCATTTGAGTCCGGAGGGTCCCTGCGTGCGGTCCCTAAAGGCATGGGTTTGTCTCCAGTTGGTTGCTTTTACCACCATTCCAAAAAGGGGGCACCACCAAAAAGGACCCCGTTGAAGAAGCAATCGTTGACAGAAGCCGGAAGGCGCAAAGAGACGAAGAGAGAGAGAGAGAGAGAGAGAGGGAGACAGACACACAGAGAGAAAGAAAGAAGGAAGGAAGAAAGGAAAGGGAAAGGAAAGGAGTTCCTCTCTGGGTGTGCGTTTCGTGTGGGACCCTACCCAGGTTCTCAAATGGGCGAGGCAGTAATTCTAGTGACTCATGAACCCTGATGAAGGAATGAATGAGTAGAGCGTCGCCAACATCCGTTGACCTGTTTGAGAAAGGACTTGTTTGACTGATCTTCTTGCATTGGAATCGCGAGGTCTCCTTTAAACCTCAGAAGAAACTAGAGCTGAGTTGGTACGAGGGAGCCACTGACGGGGTCACACACCTTTGCATCTACCTCCATCCGCATCATTGGAGTGACGATTACGGATGTTTATGACAATGTTCCAACCAAACATGACAGGGCAGCGCCTTGGGAAAACTACTTTCCTTCTGGACTGGGGATCTGTGCACTGCCATGTCTGCTTGTGGGATGGTATGCCTCAATATGGGACACTTGAGTGTTGCAAGCAGAAGCACACGGCAGCAGCTCATCGTTTAGAGGGGACGCCTGGTTTTGAGAACACCCATCAGGCTGCTCTGGGAAGGTTTGGGAAAGACGCAGGCACGGCTCGGTTGTGTGGTCAAAGCAGCCCAAGCCAGGGGTAGTGTTCATGGCAGGGAGCCGACCCCGTAAGGACTTCCCAAAGGACCGGAACCGCTCCCCCAAAAAATCCCCTGGATCTTGCAAGTGCTACAAAGGACCAGACTTTCCCACGGCGCCCACGGCGCCGTCCGATTCACCGCCGCCGCCAGGATCAAGAGGAGCGCGGAGGTCCGCCCCTTGGCCCTCGACGCAAAGCGCCGAGTGCTGCAAGCTGTGGAGAGCGGGGAAAAGCTGTGCGGGATCGATCTGGAGGGGGCGAGCCGGGGGGTTGAGGAAGACAAAGCCCAGTTCGCACACCCCAGTTTTTTTTATTAAATAATTTTAGCGGGGGGTTCCACTCCCTCAGACAATCAGCCGGAAGCTCCCATTCCACCTCTGCAAATGGAGCCAAGTCTTCCAAAGGGGTCCTGGGAGCTGCCGGCTGATTGGTCAGAGGGAGGGTAAGGGAAACACCCAGTTCGCAATCCCAAGTGGTGTAAAAAGACCCAACAGCCAACAACGAGTCCGCGCGAGCCGCAAGCCAAGCGCCGTGTGGAAGAAATGCAATGACTTCCCTGAGAAATTTCGGAGAGGGAGCCTGAGGCTTCGCCAGGCATGGCGGACGAGCACATGAGCAAGACTCGGTCTCAATGGTAAGCAGTGACCAGCCACATTTCCAGATCTTGCTCGACGAGCGGATCTTGCAAGCAAAGAGCAGAAGTTGCCCGGCGCACTGTGTTCTGCCTTGGTGTTGGATCTTGGAATTCATTGGTTTCCATTCTCCCTGCTGAGGTAGGTTCCCCAATTTTTGTTTAATCAACATGACCACCATTTACGTCCCTCGTCCAGAAGCGGGCCACAAAAAAAGCAGAGCCTTGCCCCTGGATTGCTTCGAGCAGAATTTGGGGGTTCTGGAGGGAGTCTTTTGTCGAGGGTGCCTTCTTTAGGTGCATTGGATGGCCGAGTTAGCTGGTTTTCGGTGGGCAGGTTCTTGCGTGCTTCAGTTTGCGCAGACTCCCTGAACTGTTCTTGTGTGGTCATGTTAGTGCAATTGACACCAAACCTGTTGACTTCTGCAAGCTCCCGCGAAGCTTGCTTATGCTCCTCCGCTTGTTTGAATTGTGATGCATTGGCCGCACGGATCCTATTGGCCCGTCGCGGACTTGACTCTTCATAGCGACCGGCTTAGCAAAAGCAAGCCACAAGGTCGGAGGAACTTTCGCGAAGGCAACAGGCCTTGGCTTCATTTTTGGTCCTTCCGCGGAATTCTAGGCGTAGCTCCCCCATTCTTTCCAGGGATCCGGATCTTTCTAGAAAGCCTCCAGAATGCCGGGGGAAAACGGATGCGGTTTCTGAAAAGAATGATGGTTGAACAGAATGGACAAGGAAACAACCCCTAAAGGAATGGACTTTCTACCCGAAAGAGGTCCCTGAAAGAGGTCCACCCGCCAGGTCTTGGCGGACTGCTATGAGGAGAAGACCGAAGAGTGGCACTGGGCTCAGCACCAAAGTCCGGGAGAAATGGGGAATGACAACGAACAACTTGCCATGCCTTGTGGTTTCCTTGAATGGGGACCCCTGGGTTCATGCAAAAAAAGGGAGAAGCGAAGCTCAGGCAACGATATAGCCACAAAAAGCGGGGGAGTGATCGAGCGAGAAACCATTTTGGGGTCCAGTTAAGCTCTGTCCAGGTGCCTTTTGGGCGCCGCAGAATCCACTGACGCCCTGAAAACGAGTCTGCCCAAAATGATCTCGGCAGATTCTCATGATCTCGCCTGCAGGTTTCATGCGCCCGACTTGAACTCATTCCATTTGTAGTGCAGAGCAAAACTTGCCTGATTGACCTGACATAGTGGGCCAGTGGCAAAAGACCATGATGCGAAGAATCCCAATTGAAAGGGAACAATCCCTCCTTAGCATGCTCCTTTGGATCGTACAAAGCTGACATGGGGAGCAGATGACCGGGCAGTTGTGCACCTGCGGAAGTGAGGCAACCCAAGTGGCAGCCCCATTCTGGTAAGCGTTGCAAATTCATCACAAAGCGCCCATGAATGTTCCTACAAGTTTCCGTGCACAGCTGCCCCTTTGTGTAAGCGGCGGAAAAGCTACATGTTCAACCTGCGAAAAACATAATAATAATAATAATAATAATAATAATAATAATAATAATAATAATAATAATCATAATAATAATAATAATAATAATAATAATAATAATAATAATAATAATAATAATAATAATAATAATAATAATAATAATAATAATAATAATAATAATAATAATAATAATAATAATAATAATAATAATAATAATAATAATAATAATAATAATAATAATAATAATAATAATAATATATATATATATATTATAAAACCGTGAAGCAAACTACAAAATAATCTTACAAAACGGAGTAGGCCCTGTTTTCCTACTGACATGGTCCAACTGTCGGACTTCCAGGCCTACCCTTCGAAACGTATCGCCCTGCGTGGGGAATTGAAGTGTTGACCTCGAGAATGGCAGAAAGAAAGCTCCGCGCGGCACGGCGGAACTCCATGGTTCAATTCACAGCGAGTCCTCGGAAGATGTTGGTAGATGGCCAAGTGTTGGTTTTCTGAGGCCTTCTGAAACAGAGCGAATTTTAATGAGTTGAGTCTTTCTACGCATGGAGCGCGGTCAGAATTCATTTGGACGCGTTCTGTTGAGAGTTTGGAGGTTAGATGTGCAAGTGATCGAGGGTTGGACCAGGTCCAAGGCAGGGGTGGGTGTATGCTCAGTCCGTGGTCATTTTTGCGGAGTAAGGGTAGGTGCAGCCAATTCTTGGACATGATGTGGAAGACTTCCAAGACAAAGGTTCCTGGTCGTTTTTTCCCTCAAAGCCGACGCCCGGAGTGCGACTGCCCCAGCTGCCCCCCCGCCCAGAGCCGACGGCTAAGCAAGCCTTCGCCCAGGGATGCCTTGGCGGACGAGCTGAACGGAGTGAAGGAGGCGCCGAAGGGCGCGGCGCCGGTACTTGTTGTTTGGGGAAGTTCCGAGGCGAGAGGGCCGAAACGAGAGAGACCCAGAGAAATGGCTCGCCCAAGCCAACCCTTTGAAGCTTTTTTGTCCTGCCGAGCAGCTGTTGGTCCTCAGGGCCCCTTTTCGGCCTTTCCGGGCTCCTGTTTTCCCCCTGCGAAAAAAGCTGGGCCTTGTCACCGGCATCGAACCGCCAAACGCCGGCCTAAAGGAAGGCGGGTCAGAAGTTCAGAAGGCCAAGCCTGAAGGCCCCTGGCAAGCAGCAAGGGGAAACCAGATGGCTAGCGCTCCGATGCCGACTTTCTGTGGTCAGAGCCTATGTGAGTGCAGAGCGTTCTCCAGGTTGGGTATGAAACACGACAAGAAACACCCAACCTGTGGCTTTCTGGTTCGGCCGTTTGTCTCGGAAGCTGCGTGCCGGTGATAGTTGGATGTTTGCTCAATTCAGGGACCCAGCTAATCATGGTGTTTCGGGTCGGTGAAGGGCAAGGATGCCAAACCTCGCCATGTCTACGACTCCAATTCCATTTATCAGCATCGCCGGATTCGGAGGACATGGAGAGGATCCAGAAGGAGAAGCTGCGAAGCACGGGCCGGCAGTTCCCGTCCCAGGCGAAGAGCATTTGGCCGGTGGAGACTACTCAGGCCCTTTTCGTTTTTTTTTGGAGGGGGGGCAGGTTGGGGTGGGGCTTGGGGGGTTGGGGTTGTTGTGGGTTTGTGTGTGTGTGTGTTTATTGGGGGGGGGGGTGAGGTTGAGGTTTGGGTTGGGGGAATGGAAGGTTTCAGTGGGGGCTTGGAGGTTAAGCAGTTTGGAGGGTTGGTGGGCGCAAGCAGGCAGGCAGGCAAGCAGGCAAGCAGGCAGGCAGGCAACAAGTCAACCAAGCAAGCGCAGGGGGTGGGGGGGGAGGGTTAGGTTCAGGGGCGCATTGGGAGAGGGGTTTTCGGCTAGGTTTGATTTTTGGCCCCAGTTTTCGGGAGAATGTTTTGGCGCATGGGGAAACATGACTCGGCATTGTCGAGGAGTACTGGCTGCCGCGCTTCCTGGACGTTCTGCGGCCCCCGCACGGCGTGGACTCTGCCACCGCGGTGTGCCACTACGTGGGCTGCTTCCCCTATATGGCCGGGCTTGGGGGGCTGCGGTGTGGTGTGGGGTGGGGTCGGGCTGGTGCTAGGCCCGGTTCGGTTTCCAAACGAACGTTCTGGGCGGATCCTGTCAAATTTGTTGGTTCCATGCTGCCAGTTTCCAGCAGCTTGTTTGACGATGCCACTAGGCATTTGAGCCTGAGCAAGAGCATGTAAGAGTTTGCTGGCCAGACCCCAGCATTTGCCCTTGACGCCGTGCAGCAGACCAGTCTCCTTCAGCTGATTCTTGGCCAGTCAAATTCACGGGTTCCATAGTTTGTCAAACACCCATACGTGCGTTTCAACCTGGATGTTTTTTGGGTTTCTCGGGGCGCCCAAACTTGGGTCCCGCGTTTTGGTTGGTACTGGAAAGAACAACTCAGGGTCTCCCAAAAATGGGGGCAGGTCAACCCCGGACCTTTGACTGCGGCATTTGTATGGGTCGGTTCGGAGTTCGCTGAACCTTTGGCTGGATCTCTTGGGGATGGGGTCAAAGGAAACACAAATGGAGACACCTGCCATTGGGAAGGGGTCCAGGCGATCGCGTGCCAAGGTATGTCCACGGGTTACAAACGGCCTCTTGGGATGCTGTCGGCTGCCACCAGTCCCTGGATCAAACTCAAAGGCACTGGTTTCTTTTGATGTCAAAAAAGAACTGCAGAGCAGTGTCTTAAGCGGATCTCCAGCACCAATCGGTTTTCTGCCAAAGAGAATATGCGGGGATTTCTCAAAATAGGGAGCCCCCTTTTCGTATGAACTTAGAAGGAGACTAAAAGGAAACCAGCTTGGAGGGTTCTCCAACTTTGAGAAACACTCATATCCCGGCCAGCAATGGGGTTTCTCCAGCAATGTCTTTGATCTCTACAATTTGTCCCGTTTCCGGTGCGAATCCAAGATGGAATTCCACCCTGGAAGATTCCTGGTTTCTCATAAGATAGTCCATTTCCGGGATCCCATTTTGGGGTAGGTCCATTTTAGAACCTATTTTAGTGGGGATTGGGATGTTCACTGGAAGTACGGGCTTTGGATTTTGACCCATGGCCAAATGGGGCTCATTCAACTTGGTCTTGGTCTCAGCTCCTCGGCAATGTTCAACCTTGGTTTGGATGGTTCAATCGAATGCGGGCCAAATGGCTTCGGTTTGCCTTTACAGCGCGGCCACAAGTGAGGCGCTGGATTTTTTCAGACTCCCTGCAGGAGAGCAAGGCAGAGGACACAGTGAGCGCGCCCAACTTCTTCTGCGCGCTCCGCAAGGGAAAGGCCTGGCGCTGGCTTGAAAGGCCCAGTCCTTTTCGTTGGACAAACCACACGGCTAGAAGTGTAGGTTTGATCACAATCATCGCTCCACTAGTTGAGTGTAAGCAAGATTGCCCCAAACCGGCCTGGCAATCTTTGCAAGGGAGGTTTCCTTTTAGAGGTTTGCGAACCTTGTCCCCAAACAGGTTTCAAAAGGACCCTGAAAACCTGCAGGTCGTTTAAATCGCGCCTGGGTTCTGACTAGGGATACGAGTTGTTCTCGAGCCGGAAAGGCAAGGCCGTGGACAAGAGCTCCGACCTGGAAGGTGTTCGCGGTGGAGCCCCTTTTCCCTCCAGTTTTTGCGCCGTTTCCTGCTTCGGCATCCTTTTGGGTTTCTTTTTCAAGATTGGCAAGTGGGTGTTTTTCTCCTTGTATTTTTGGTCCGACGGCCAGACGCTTGTGGCAGGCACGGATTCCGTGTCCGTAGATTGGGGATCATTAGGATATATTGGGATGCTTGAGGGAACCGAAAGAACCCCTCTGGTTTTTGTTGAGTGGTGCGGGTCCCACTGGTGCAAACGGATCTGGTTTTTGCGCTGCGACCCAGCGGCTGCCGCCTTTGGGTCTTGGGCTGTGGCCAGATTCTGGAGCACTGCCTGCTGCACTGCAGCCTTCTACTGGGCCTCTCCTGCAAGGCCATGGAGCCTGCGCGTTTTTAGGGCGCGGAGCGAAGGTCCATAGGGAGTCGGGAGTCGGGCCGTTCAGGGGGGAGCAGCTGGGTTGATGGAGGTAAGGCCTATATAAACGACCAGTTTGGTAGAGAGTCAAGCCTTGGGCGCTGAGCCAGTCGGTTTCCTCTTCCCTTTTGAACTCATCCAGAAACGGGTTCCCCTATTTGGATTCATACAAACCCGCGGACGGGAACGGCGGACGTTTCTCAGACGATGGCTCACGTGGTTTTCAGGTTTCGAAGTTGGTGGCTCCCAGCGTTGGTGGCTCCCAGCCTTTTAGTGTTTTTCGTGGTTTAACTCACTAAAGGTTAGTCAAACTTTTCGCGGCGGAGCTGAAAACGGCGAGCAGACACGCATCCTGGTTCAGCTCTTTTTACTTAGCGAACCATATTTTTACATAGTCTTGGGGTATGTTCCCCATTCTTTCCAGGGATCCTTTTTTCTAGAAAACCTCCGGAAACCCAGGGAAAACGGATCCGGTTCTGAAAAGAACGAGGGTTGAAAAGAATGGAGGAATGAACCCCTAGAATTGGGGCTTCTTTCTCGTGTGGCCAACTTAGGGCCAAGCGAAGGTCACGCAAAGGGGAAGGGACTTGGAAATTGGAAGCATGCAGACTAGATGCCCTCCACGGCTCTGAGAAATCCTGGAAACCCTCTGGGTCTCGGGATAAGTCAGGATACGGTTGGCCAACACGATTCCCATTGGCTGACGGTCTCGCTACCGTGTGGTTGAGGGCGAGTTGTGCCAACCCCGGCGGACGCGACATCTTCAGCCACATCCTGCAGAGTTGCTTTCCAGGGAGTCGCTTGGTGAATGATTCCTTTCTGGATGGCGGTGTTGAGGGGTTCCTGGGTGACATGTGTCACGACACGAAATGGACCTTTCCGGGGATGAAGGGAAATGGACATTGAATCGAGAAAAAAACAGCTCAGGTGATATCCCCAACAGCATGCCATGCTCTTTTTAGTGCTCGCACCACCCCGCAGCCCACCCAGAACCTCGTGGAACCATGGTGGAACCCTGGTGGAACCCTCGGAACCTTACCTCAGGGCCGCCCCGAACCACCCCGGAGCCTATCTGGGCTGAGACCCCAGAGCTTTCAGCTGTTGGGGAAAAACAAAACGTCCCAAGTTTTGGCAACAGCCAAGTGGGAGCACAGCCGCCTGTGTGCACCCCGGAGAGTCCCAGAGTGGCAAAGAAGAAGAGGCCTCTTGAAGGAGGGTCCTAGAAAAAGATAGTTGACAGGTGCCAAAGGGAGGAGGGCTCCAACTTTCCTTTTTCAAACCGATGAAACATGTAGGGCAAGACTCCCTGCCCTTGCGAGGCCTATGTGTGTGGTGGCCGGACCCTGAAGGGCGAACCCCACTTCTGGGTGCCGACCTGAGTGCGTGCCGAGGCAGCTAGGCACGGGAAGCCTTGGGGATCATTTCCAGACAGTTCTGGGATTTTTCTCATGTTGGCCATGCTTGTTTGGTGAAACAGGGATGTCTTAGGGCCAAGTTCCATATCAATGATCCTAGCCACGCCATCTATTTCTCTTCTTGGAAGTCTTGTTTGCGGACATCAACTACTAGGTTTAGAAAGTGATACGAGATTATTTTACAGGGGCTACAATCTTACATGACGGCTCCAGTGCTACTTGTGACTCTTGTGAAGCTTTGCCGGCTGTTTCAAAAGGCATCGTGTGGGGCTCCTTACAAAAGCCATGGAAGGCACCCGTCCAACTCCGGGCAAGGCGAGCTCACATTTCACGGGGCTGGGTGGGTTGCGAGGCCCCGAGTGAAAGTTGCGCTTCCTTTGGGGTTTCCGTTTTTTCTCGGTGGGTAGGACACAAGGCTTCATTCTGGAGAGCTTGGTTGGCCCGCGGGGGAAAAGGGAAAACCAAGGACGGGGTGGCATGTCGCAAGTCCGGCCACTATGGATTTTTCTTTGCTTGTTTACGTGTGCATGCATGCACCAAAAAATAGGAGTTTATCTGAGATGGGTACTTCCAGGCATTTGTTTCCGAAGCACCCTGCCGCGCGCAAAGATCTCGAGGTGGCCGTCTTTGAGGAGGACGAGAAGCCGTCACTTCTCGGGGGAAGTGGATGTGGGTGTAACTTTTTGTCGCCATAGGATAGGGCATCCCTCCAACATGGCGGTTTTCCTTGTGGTTTCCCCTTTAACCCAACCAGAAAGTCCCTAAAAAAGGAAGCCATACTGTGGACGGACGAAATCCGCTTCGCACCACTTTGAAACCATGGTTGAAGCCATTGCTCGTTGGTATTTACAGGAAAATCATCATTCCAGGGTTTCTTTTGTGGTGCGAGATGGATTTCGTCCATCCACAGTAGGATAGGGGATGCTTGACCCACCAAAAATTCCATGGCTTTCCGTTTGGCCCCAAAAAAGAACAGGACACGCAGCCCTCAGCCTTGCGAAACAGGCCTGTGCCATCCACTGGGCCATGGGGATGGCTTCGTTTTGGGGAAATCCCCAGCCCACCATCGGCTACGAAAGGACGTGCGTCGGTCCTCTGTGGCTTTCGTCCGGCGGAAGGGGGGGGGGAAAAAGGGAGGTGCCCTGGTCGCAGAAAAATGACAGGTGCACCGCTTGGGGTCCATTGGGCCGCTAAATTTGAAAGGGAACTTAGATGAGTTGTGAGGAGCTTCTGTACTTGCCCATGCAAGAAATTCGTTCTGGCCATAATCCGTGTTTGGATTATGGCTCTCACTGAACTCTCGGACTCAAATGGGTTCAGACTGTCAAGCAACATTGCCTGCGGCCACGCATGGGTGGCACTGGCTTCTTGGTCAAATCGATCCCAAGAAGGGTACCACCAATGTGTATGTGCGAAAAGGCGAGAATGTGTATGTGCGAAAAGACGGGAATCGGCCCCCCCAAAGAAAATAGAAAGTTTCCCTTCAAAGCAGCCTAAAAATGGAGTGCCCACTGACCCATCCCAGGGCCCACGTGGACGCAGCCTCTCCTCGCCTCGCCTTGCAGGACGGCACGGTGCGGTTCTGGGAGCCCTTCCTGGGCACTGGCTCCATGGCGCTGCGGCGGCGCTTCGCGTTTCCCCAGTTCCTGATCCCGGGCAAGCGGGGGGCCCGGAAACGGCGAAAACTGGATGCAGGGCACTCTGGTCTCTTCTTGTTTCGTGAAACTTCGATGCGCCGCTGTTCGCACCGGTTTTGTATGAGATTCTGTGGGTGCACGGGAAGTCGCCGGTCATGCTCTTCACCTTGGATTTCGCGAAAACCAGCTGTGGCCGGCCTCGTCGACATCGTTTTTGTCTTTTCTTTTCGAGTTGGTTTACCCCCGTCTGTTTTCGTGGTTTTGAAGAGAAGCCAAGCACAGAACCGCCAAAAAGGGGGGGCGGGGCAGGGTAGAAGAAAGAGAAGCTCGACCCATCCAGTGTTTTTGTTTTTGTTTTGTTTTTGTGTGTGTGCTTTGTAGGGGGGGAATTATTGAGACAAAAGCCCCTTTGATGCATACCCACAGAGTTGGGTTCGAGGCCCATCGATTTCAAGACCGCCTGTGCCGCGCAGTCGAACCTGGGTGCAAGGGGATTGCTACTGATGGACAGAATGCTGCACTAGTTCGTTCGTTATTGCATTTGTCGTAGTGCTTCCTCCATCCCAACTGGTGCAATATTTTGTCCATCTGTATGTCTCATAAAAACAAGAGACTTTTGAACCCCGTTGAGGTCCGGCTGCACCTGCTTTTTGTACCATACAAACACGGCAAAGATCAAGCCAGCATGCGGGATTCGAACAACGGGGAGTCCGCAGACACCGTACTGTCCTATCATTTGTTCCCTGCATACTGCTGCTTTCCGGGTCCCCAGGCATTTGGAAACCCGATTGTGGGTGTAACATACGGCTAGGAATTTTGACGGGCCATCTTAAACAAAAATGGGACATTCTTTCCCCACCCGTTTTGAGGTCCGCAGGGTTCCCCTTAAAAGACAACGACGGCGGCTCCAAAAAGGGTCCCCAAAATGGCACCTTGGTGGAGGCCATCACTAAAACCCGCGTAGCCCCAGCGGCTGAATTTTGGGCCACACCCAAATCACAGCAACATGGGACTTCCGGTCCACTCTCGTCTTCAGGCCCCGAGCCCCGCGAATTCGCACTGGAGGGGTTGTTGGTGCTAGGGGGGGGGTTTGGGGTTGATAGGTGGGGTTCTTGGTGCTAGGTTGGGGTGATAGGTTGATAGGTAGGTTGGGTTCCTTGATAGGTTGATAGGTTCCTGGTGCTCTGGGCTCTTGGTTTCCTTGCGGACGGCCGAGATGCTGAAGATATTGGCGGTAAACATGTGATCGCAGAAGCGTCTCTTTGCCAGTGATGCCGAGAGCCTTTGCTTTTTCCCCAACAGCTGCAAGCTTTGGGGTCTCAGCCCAGATAGGCTCCGGGGTGGTCCGGGGCGGCCCTGAGGTAAGGTTCCACGAGGGTTCCACCAGGGTTCCACCAGGGTCCCACGAGGGTCCCACGAGGTTCTGCGAGGGCTGCGGGGTGGTGAGCGCACTAAAAAAAGAGTACCGCATGCTGTTGGGGATATCACCTGAGCTTATTGTTCTTGCGGAGCTGGGCTGACCTGTTGACCTGTTTAAACATGCCTCATCTACTTGTTTTTTTTTTTTTTTTTTTTTTTTTTTTTTTTTTTGTTTTTTTTTTTTTTTTTTTTTTTTAAATCCTTTGTTTTGTTCAACCATTCAAGGCCTACTGCTCAGTCCAGTCAACCTCTCTTTGGTTTTCTTTTATGTCTATATATATATATATCTATATGTATACATACATGTATATATATATACATATATATATATATATACACGTATCTCTATACACATGATTATATATATATATATAGATGCATACATGCATGTTGCATATTTGTATTTCTCAGCCCGGGATCGAAGCACTCCGGTGGCTTCCCGCCTTTGAGGCACGCCCCCAGAAGCCTCCGGGACATGGAGCTCCTTCGGGAGCGCCGGCGGCGCAGGCGGCTTCGGTGTTGCTTTTTCCTCGGGGCGTGGGACGTGGCGTGCTCCCCGTGTTTTTCGTTTTTGTCTTCCGGATTTTCTGGGCTTCCCAAAAGCCAAAAGCCGGTGGATTCCGGTACCTGGAATTCTCCAGCGAGATGGAGGTCAACGGAAGTATGGATGGGGTGCAGCGAATTTCTGACATGACCAGCATGTATGGCCGGTAGCGGTACACCTGAAATGAGCCGAGTGGATTTGTGTGCCTTGAGAAATGTGCACGGCGGGAAGTTGCCATGAGACTTTGGCTCCAGAACCAGTGTGAGCATCGCCTCGCAAGCACTTGCCGAGACAGTAATGCCGGAGTCTCTGGCAGCTTTTGGGTGCTTTCGGCAATTCCATGAAGTCAGTGAGCCTTGTGACGTAAGCAGCAACATGTTCACCTTGTCACAGACTGGAAAGGACAGCTGTTGTGTTTTGTGTTTTTCCTGCAAGTGGCGGGGGGGGGGGGGCGAGCGATGATACCCCTCATAGTTCTCTTCGGCGTTTCCTGTGAAGGGCCCAGGTAGGTGAAGCTGTTTTCAAATGATTGGCCTTGGCTGCCAAAGGGTCCGCTGCAGACGGGAAATGACGGAAGATAGATCTGTTTCTTCGAGCAGTTTGGCATTGGTTTCCGGCAATGGACCAGGCCTGGGCTAGTTTCGAGACCCCCCCCTCCTTCCCGCACGGGACCCGGGCAGGTTGATCTAGGAAACGGTTTGGATGCGGTTTTTGTGGATCCACCCTTGTAGGATAGCAACAGAGTAGTAAATAGGAGTATTAAAAGAGGAACAACTAGCCAAACAACATGGGGAAACCACAGAAAGCGCATCGTTTGCTGGAGTTGAGGCGCAATATAATCGGGTGAGCCGTGGGTGAACCCCTCAGCCCGGGTTCGCTTGGGCCGCTGCTTTCTCCGCCCGCCAGGCGGATGCTCCGCAGCAAAGGGCAGCTGCTGCTGCCGGCCGGGCGCAGCGCCTTGGGCGAAAGAGAGCAGGGCGTGTCCTCGTTTTTCTGGTTATAGTTATAGTATTACATAGCTGTTTTACATTTATTGCAGTAACATGTATAGCTGTTTCAATATTTTTTTTAACGATAAATGAAAGGAACACAGCCAACATGTTTGGGAAGGGTTTTCCTATGTTGAGACGGTCCCCGAATAGATACCCCAAATGGATGGACGAAGGGAGTGAGGGAGGTATGGATAGCTGTGCGTGGACAAACTGATGCACTCATGCGCGGATGCACGCATTGCTACAAGACTACCTTCATGCACGCATGCGCGGGCTTTGCATGGACGAACAGCTAGATATATGAACATCTAGTTGGCTAGATAGCTGGATGGATGGATCGACCGATTGGTCGACAGACAGAGACAGAAAAAACAGACAGGGAGACAGGGAGAGGGAGACAGAGACACAGAGACAGATTGGTGGAATATGCTGCAACATGACAGCTAGCTACACCAATCAATTGAAATTAGTGAAAGAACGCCATTCTTTGTGGCACTCCATGTGCGTATGGGTCAAAATTGATCCACCAGGAGACGGCAGGTTTAGTCTTTGGTTCCATTCACCAGGGGACCCACTTTATAGTCCGACTGCCCCCTCTTTTGATGTCGTTGCCGACCTGGAGAGCCTCCCTATTTCGAGAAACACCTTTGCCAGGCAAGCTACAAATTCCCTCCTTTTTCTAAGATTGCCTCCGGACAAGAGACGGCAGAGACTGATTTTTGACCCACAGCCATGTCTCCTCGTCAAAGCCCCAGGCGCGCCCAAGTCGGAGGCGCCCAAGGCGAAGGCGAAGGTGAAGAAGTCGATGTTCAGGACCGGCGAGTTGGGGCGGTTCCCAGCGTCACTTGCTCAAAACCCGGGTAGTGGGAGGGTGGTAAGGGACAACCCCAGGCAAGAAGGGGTGCGGAGATCCGGCTTTTTAATTCTTTACGCGGTTCTGGGTAGACCAGTTTATGTCCAGGTTTTGATTATGACTCAAATGATGTCCACCAAAAGGTGGATGGGGGTCAGAAAGAGGTCCAGGATTTAAAGACCGCACTCTCCTGGAAAACAACAGAAAGAGCCCCAACCGCCCAACCATGTTAAAAAGGCGGCCGACTTTTGAGAGGCCAGCTGAGCAAGAAGATCCTCACGAGGGCCACGAGCACGACATGGTCTACGTGGACATTTTGGACCTAGGCCCCTAGTGTCACCCCCGAGTTGGCGCTGTAGGAGTTGGCCGATCGGACAGGGTTCTGCATCCTTGGCTTAAACCCACCCATTCCAATTGAGGTGTAAGTTGAAAGGCGCAACGCGCCGCTACACTGCACAGGCAAAGCTTTAAATCCGAAGACGCCAATGTGCCTAAATGCCGATCCACATGCTACACAGTGCAGAACGAGGCATTCAGTGCCCACTTCCTGACCTAAACAATGTGCCTGTGCCGGAGAAGACGTGCATGGTTTGTTTCTTATTTGTTTGCTGTTTGTTCTTTGGGGCCCAGTTCCTACCGGGTACTGGCTGAGAAGAAGTGGCCTGAACTATGAACACGCTGTGAAGTGGCTCTTGTTGCTTTGTTGGATTTTGGTGTGTTGCGTGTAGCCTATGTGTTATGTTCTAGCGTGAGCCAGCTTTGTACGAAGCGACTACTCTGGCCTCTGGCCCAACGGCCTAGGCGCATGGTTCCAAGAGGTGGGTGTGCCTTTGAGGGTACCCATTCTTCTTCTGCTTTTTCTTTGGGAAGCGCAAGGGAACCCACTCATTTGGGGTCCTCCTCGCCCTGTAGATGTTTTCGAAGTTGTTCGGCCTGTTTGGCCGCCCTGTTCCCGACACCGCGTGCTCCGGTTGCTTTTGCAGGCCTGCGGGAGCGGCCAACGGAGGATCGAGGTGACGAACCGGGTGCTGGGTAAAAATACATACACCCGTAGCTTTTAAACTTGGCGAACAAAAAGGCAACCAATGTGTTTGGCTCAAAATTAAAGAGCTAGGGTTACGCAGGTTTTAGTCTTTGGTTCCACTTACCAAGGTGCCATTTTGGCACATGTTTTTGAGCCACAGCCAAATCATGATATGCCCTTCTACATATTTTCATGTCGGCAGAGTGTGCCCCGGGACAATGTACTCTCGGGAAAGGTACCTCTTTCGTACTCTTCATGTATCCATGGCCCAGTATGCATTTATCATGGCGAGATTGGCTTACACCACAAACATGATGCCCAAAGGCGTGTCCCAAACGGGGGCCCAACCATACTCGTAAGGACCTGTACATGGTGCATGCCCCCAAACGGTTGCCTTTGCGTGTGTGTGTGTGTGTGTTCTTTGAACAACTTGGTGATCTCATTGAGTAGCAGGGGGTGTTTCGCCCGTCGCCTGGTTGGATTTTGATGTGGCAAAGGGGGAGCGCCTGGAGTTAAAGGGGCCATTTTAGTAAGGGGATTGAGTTCGAATTGATACTGTGGATGGACAAAACCCGTTCGCGCCACTTTGAAACCATGGGAACCCATTGGTTTGTTGGTATTTTTTTTGGAAATCATGATTTCCGGTGTTTCTTAGGTGCCGCAGGATTTCGTCCATCCACAGCAGGCCGTATAGTGATGGCCGAAAAAAGTCATAAGAAGCACTGCTCAGTTGGCTAGTGGCACGAGTGCGCAAGGTGCACAAGGATCCGTGCGCCGGAATGCATCCCATAAAGTGCTAGGAAAACAGGGGCTGGGAGGCTGAACGCATGTGTGTTTGCAGCATTCTGTCCAAGCATGGAGACGCGTTGAGCGTGTCAGAAGGGTTGCGGCAACTCGTATCAACCTGCTGGAGCAACCCAGGCTTCCAATGTTTTTAAGGTCCTTTTGGGTACACAAACCAAAACACCATCAGGACATGGGTGTTACACACCCCAACTTAGTTGAAGCCGCAATGAAGAGTGACTGTGGCTCACATCAATTTTTTGTTCCCGACATGGAGCTTGGGGTTGGCTTGGAAGGTTTGGCTTGGCGACCATCGAATCCTCAATCCAGACATTCAACTCAGAGAGTCGCCTGGTCCTGCGACTCCAGTGGCGTGGGGATTGGTTCCAAAAAAAAACTTTGGTGGTGCATTTTGCCAAGGGATGTTAGGACTTTAACTTTTTGCCAGCTAATGGGTTTTCCGTATTAAACCACTATTTTTTTTTTTTTAGCGGGGGAGCAGAAAGCAACCGAGAAAAGGTCGAACCGTGGGTCCGAGATTAGGACCCAACAAGTCGCTTGGACTCCTAAAATATGTTTGCCGCTGGGAGGGTTTTCCAGGCATTTGGACTCGTTTGATAGGGCTCAAGGAGCCACGTGCACCGCGGCGAGTTGCAGTGTTTGACGCGTACCACTAGGGTCTTCCTCGTTCCCCGGCACTAGCGAGGCGAGTTTGCACTGCGCAAAGCAACCGGCTGACATCAAACACAGATCAAAGAACTGCTCCGCTGCAAGAGCAAGACGTTCTACTGGATGAGGAAGCAGCCTCCTCCCTCTCAGCAAGCTATTGCTTGCAAGCCAAGCAAGCAGTGCAATGCCAGCATCTGTTCTTACTTAAAAATCATGACAATTGAACCGAAACCCGCATAACGACTGCAACAATGACATTGCTGATTAAACTTGACAGGAAATGAGTAGTTGTAACAGTGCACCTAAGCGTCGCTGGTTGCGCTGTTGCCCCTCCCGCAATGATAGTCAAGAGGGTGGGCAAAATGATGCCTGGAACAACTTTAAACTCAGCACGCAACCACGGTTGCTGTCAACAGCCTGCCTCTGCATTGCGTTTCTCTGCAAGCAGGAGCCTACCAAGGGCAGCTACATCACGCATGCTAACAGCATGTGCTGTGGACAGCTTTCTACGCCAGCAGCAGAGTGCTTGCATTTCAAAAAAATCCTGACTCCCGTGCCGGCAGAGATGCGTTCGCCTTGCCAGGCTTTTTTCCCTGACCGTTCCCCCTGTTTGAAAGATAATCGAAGTTGGGCCCCTTCAAGAAAAGCTTGTGGCCTTGAAATGAAACGCCCCTTCATTTTCAAGGGGTCTACACTTCAGGCAGGTATGTGTCAATGTACGGAGCCCCAAAATAGCCTTTTCTCCTTCTGGTTTCCCCCGAGCCAAGGTGAAGCAGGCTCCCTCCTAAAGAGCATACACCAACATTTTGGGGCTCCAACTTCAAAAATAGAATTCCACATGGGGCTCCATCTGAGGGTTTTTGTATTGCACCCTGGGAGTACACAAATCTTGGGAAATGGAATGGTTCAAAAGAACACGTTGTTTTCTCCGGACATGTGCCATGGGGTCAATGCGTCATTGAAGCCCTCGGGCTCCAGCTTCATTCAGATCCATCGGTGCCAGGGGAGACCGGGCGCCGCTGCGCCACTTGCAACGCGCTGCCCGGGGGCCAGTACTTCTCTCGGGGCTTCAACTGCGAGGTCTGTGAAAAGGCCGGGGCGTGCGCCGAAAAGCACCGGGCAGGGGTGTGCTATTGTGGTAGTCAACGCCACTGCAGAATCACGGCTGGCTGGCTGGCTGGCTTTGTCTTTGAACGATGCTGTGCTTTTCATTTCCTTGCCGGATGTGTTGTTTAGCGGGGCGATTGGTAGGGAACACGATTGACTCTGGGTTGCTTTGTTGGTCCGGGCTTAATGTCCTGCTGGCTGAAAATTGCAGGACACCAATGTAGAAGAAGTCTGTCGAAGGATGTCCCTACAAAGAGCTGAAAACGCGAACCCTGTTGGTTTCTGATCAGAAAATCCATGATATGCTTGACGGGCTCATGATGGAACTGGTTCTTTAGACCACAATGGCTGCGTGCATCACTTTTCACATTGGTTTGCTTGCGAGGTTTCTTCCGGAATGGCTGCCATCTTGGAGGGCCCAGTTCTTTTTTTTCATTGGAGACACTCATTTCAAGGATGCGTCAGACCCGGTGCGGCTTTTTGCCGCTCGTGAGGCGGGTGGCAGCTTCATGCTGTGCTTCTCCTGCGCGGACCCGCTCTTCAAGGACGATGACCAGCTGCAGGCAACGGGTCGGCGCCCGGCGCCGGCGGCCGGCGAGAAGCGAGAAAGATGTGCGCTGTGGGTCCAAAATGGGTAGCCAAAATGGGTTGCCTTGGTAAATGGACACATGGACTAAAACCTGCGGTCCCCTGGTGGTTTAATTTTGACCCGTACCCATGTGCGCTGGGGGTGCACACGAGACAAGAACAATTGCTGGAACGGGAGGTTGGGCCAGAACCCAGGACGCAGAAGGGCTATTTGGAAGCGTGCCGATTTTTGGTTTCAGATTGCTGAAGTTGTGGAGTGGCTTCCCTTGCTATGCTCAGAGCTTTGCCTCAAAGCGTCAGACCAGCGCCCTTGGCCGGGCCTCGGCAGCTCGCAGCAGTGGTTGCTCGATGGTGTGGTTACGCAGCAACAAGACCTGCCGAGCTACTTGAATGGAGTGAGCACTCGAGAATCCTGGCCATCCTTTGTTGCGAGTAGCCTGGTTGTTGTTGGGAAACATTTTCCATTTTTGCTTATTGTGGTTTAGTGGGAAATCTCCACTTAACGGCTAAACAATTTTTTTTGCTCCCCTTCCAACATCAACCAAGGAAGGAGAAGCATCTTTTGCCCAAATCCCCGAGATGCAAAGAGCTGCGTGCGTCGATTGGTGTCGGCCAGAAGTGAGCTTCTTGGGGACATGGCCACGGCCCATGTGGGTTTTTCCTAAAATTGGATTTAGACTTGCAAGGGTAAGCTGAAAGGAAGCCTAGAGGCCCAATCCACATTCTCCCCAGTTACCCAGCTTGGTGGACAGCATTTTCCTGCTGATCTTGGACATCTGCCTTTTGCCGGTCCTTTTTGGCAAGGGAGCTCACTTCTCCCTCGTAAACCATTGCTTCACTGAAAGGAACTTCACCTTGCATTGACCAGGAGGTTTGGAGGTTTTTGGGACTGCGGAAGTGCTGCCCCTTCTTGCGGGCTATCGGCGAAGGCAGCGGACAATGAGATCCGGGAGCCCTTTGACTTGGTCAAGGAACGGTTCGACTTCGACGTGGCGGGCCCAGTTGCGCAGCCCACCACCTCTGTCCATGGCCATTTTGGTAGGTTTGGTTCCTAGTTTTGCCGGGGAGTATACTCCCTCAAGCTTCATACCCATTTTAGAGCCAAAGGTCCATAGGTTTTGGGCGCTGTGTTGTGGAACAGGCAAATACTGCATGATCTAGAACATGATAAGGAATGAATTGCTGTGGAGATGGTATTGTCCACCTTCTTTCTCCAGTATTTTGGTTTTTAAGGCTGTTTCTATTTCCAGTAGGACCTCGCTTCAAAGTTGCGGATCTGACACTAATAATGTCAGCTCCTGAGTTGGACTTCAACCGTTTGAGGCTGCCATTTTGGTAAACACAAAGTGGCTTTGTTTGGCCCATCCACTCAGGAAGCGAGTTTTTGGGACAGACGACTTCAGCGCAAAACCACAAGTTTTGGGTCTTTCTTCGCAGTTCGCACTCAGGAGGTGAGATGCCGTTCGGGCGACAAAAAGAATTCGGCCCCGAAGTCAGGGAGCGGATGGGAAGGCCCCCTTCTGCTTTACCTGGTGACCGAGACACCCTGGCGTGGTCTTTATCGATCTGTTCTGCTTCTTTCTTTTTCGGTTTTGTTTTTTCTCCCTTTTTCTTCCCCTATTTCTCTCTATTTCTCTCTGTTTCTCTCTGTTTCTCTCTGTTTCTCTCTGTTTCTCTTTCTTGCTTTCCTTCTTTCCTTCGTTCTTTCTTTCTTTCTTTCTTCCTTCTTTCCTTCCTTCTTTCCTTCTTTCTTTCCTTCTTACCTTCCCTTCCTTACCTTCCGTCCGTCTGTCCGCCTGTCTGCCTGTCTCTATCTGTCTTTCTGTCTGTCTCTCCCGCTTTCGCAACTTCTTCAAAGGACCGCCAATGACATCAGATGGGCCAAGCCTGAGCTCCGAGGGACAGCAGAGCCTAGGGGAACAATGTAAATGCATATATATATATTTATATCTATATACACAATATGTACATGGTATATATATATATATGCAACCCCCCCCCCCATGGACCCTGGTTTTACAGCCTTTTGGGGATGGCAAATCTAGAATTTCCAAATTTATATTCTCGAAATTTCCAATTGTGGGTCCCCAAAGCGTGATAATTTGGAGCCCGGAGTCCTCCACAATGTCCCAGTATGATACCCTTTGCACATAAGATGTTACTTCAACTAGAATTGGAATTTTGAATATAGTTTAGTATGGATATAGTTTTCAAAAATGTGTTTATGTTCAATTGCAGCTTAAACAAGCAAATCCTTTCCAAATAGCAGCTACATGAAAATGTAAATATATATTTTCGGCTAAACTCCAACTAATCTATAACACAAGAAGTTAGATGGAAGTTTTTCCCAAATATAATCCAAGTGGTAAGTATAATCTAAGACGAACACAACTCAATTTGCTTTTGATAATATCAAGTGAATAGAGACTACACCTCATATATAATTCATATTAAATATGGCTAAACATTTGGAAATTAAAAATAGGATTTGTGTTGTTTACATTCTGGCCCTTTTGTAGCATAAGAAAGGTCCGACATTGAACTTGTTAGAAGGGTTCCAAAGGGAAATTTCAAGGGAAGAGAGGTTCAAAATCTAAAACTATCTCGAAACAGGGATTCTAGCTAAACCGTTGTATTTAAAGCTATTTGCGCAGGAAAGTTAATTCTATGTCAAAAGGTGGAGGTAGTAGATGAGCAAATGTGGACAGGTAGTTGAAGAGGGTGGGGGACGGTGTGTGAACGTACATACATATGTATATCTATATATACACATACATACACACATATATAGTACCCCCAATGATCCTGCGCCTCCTCATAAAATACTGGAAAATGCAGTATTTTTGAGCGTTGCACCTGCCTTTGTTTACCTCCTAGAAAGGGGTCAACATGAGCATAGCTGACATGAAGCTCACCAAAAGCACTTGAAAGTTTGTCTAACCAATAACTTGAAAGTGTGTCCACTGGATCGCTAAGCACTTGAAAATTTGCTACTATCGGATGGAAGATTCAATATTGAAGATTACACAGAACACTTTCCTGAGAATTGTCAATCCTGGCCAAACCCAAATAGCATTCAAGTTCTTCTAACACTTGAAAGTGCTTTACCACTGGATTGGGGATTCAATATTGAGGAGCCCACAAACCACCACTTTCCTGAGAATCATCCATCCTGGTCAACCCCTAAAATGTTCAAGTTGTTCTATCACCTCGAACATCCGTTACCACTGGATTGAACTATTTCACGGAAAACTTTTCCGAGAATCTTATTGAACACCGAGAGTATTGGGACAACCCTGGAATTTTTAAGACTTTTTAAACATTATGGGATTCAAGATTCAAGATTCAAGATTCCCAGAAAATATTTTCTCAGATTCTTGAATCTTGAATCTTGAATCCATAATTTTTAATAATTTTTAAAAATTATGGGATTCAATATTCAAGATTCAAGATTCCCAGAAAATATTTTCTCAGATTCTTGAATCTTGAATCTTGAATCCCAGATTTTTTTTTAATAATTTTTAAAAATGTCTGAGTTGTTCTTGTATTCTTGGATGCATTCAAACTCTTTCAGATTGCAGGTGCTGATGTCATTGCTGTTATCACATCTGTATGCATGCATGCGTATCATATACATGTACGACCCTCCCCCCAATTTTGACACAAATCCAAGAAGCAAAAAGAAGCATAAAACACGGGAAAATACAGGTCAACCGCACCAAACCAGGGTCCATGGGGGGGGGTACCATATCTATACATATATATATATATTTATATGTGTTTTTTTTTTGAATGTTCAAGACATTGACAGCGGACATCCATCACCAAAAAAGGAGAAGCACACGGACGACTGAGGCGTACAATGAGCTGCGCGGGCCAGGCACGCCGAACTCAGCTCGGGGAGACGTTTGGAGGAGGGGAAGCCTCTCCCCAAAAAAGATGGGTGCTGCCCGTAAATAACGGATATTTTTTTCGGTTTCTCTCTGGTCTAGAAAAGCCCGACCCACACAGGGCAAACAAGAACCCCGGAAAAAGGATGCAGCTCAGATTCCAGAAAGATGCTGCTCGGTCCTCGAGAAGGTGGGGGCCTTTTTGGCTGTGAGGCTCCCCCAATGCATTGGTTGATGACATGTACCCGGGTTCCGAGGCCTCGGACGGTGAAAGGCTATCCAATGGACACGGTGCAGGTAAAGCAAAAGGGGCAGGGCAAAGAAAAACTGGAGACCGACATCCCAGGGAGCACCCCTTCTGAAAAACAAGGTACATTTTTCGCGCCACAGAAAGCGCTCTGATTTGTTTTGTTCAAAGCCAGGAAGAAGGGATCAGAGTGTGGATGGACGAAATCCATTTCGCACCTAACAAGTCACCCTGGAATGATGATGATTCCAAGGTAAGTTCCAACCAACAGTGGTCTTTCATGGTTTCAAAGTGGTGCGAACGGATTTCGTCCATGGCTTTTTGCTGCCTGCTTGTGACCTGCCAGGGAGAATGGGAGGTTTGTGACCCACCTCGTGCTAGGTGTGCAGTTGTGGGCTTGCCCGGATGGGACATAATTGGATGTCGCAAAGCAGAAGTCTTCTTCCGCAACTTTGCGCGACGGGCTCCGCCAGGATGACCTCCACTTTCAGCAAGTGTTTGTACGCCGTTTGATTTTCCCCCGAAGATTCTTTTGCTTTCATAGAAACCAGCTAAAGGAATGGCTACATGAAAGGGCACGCCCAACGAAAACAATGATATCCTGTAGGATTTCCTGTAGCTGGTTTCTTAGATTTGGAAATATTAATGTTGTGAAGGGTGCCCATGCGTGAGCCCTCCGAAGCAGATGCCTTCATACTTCCCAAACTAGTCACCCGGCACCTGTTTGCACTCACGGGCCCAGCCTACGCCTTTTGTACCCGTTCACCAGTTCCCTGCACCAACTTCTCGCTTACATGGTTCTTGCAGGGGAACTGCTCGGGGTCAGATGCTATAATATTGGCGACCCGCCATTTCATATAACTGAATATCCTATCCAAAAGTTGGGTTTTCCTTGTAAACCCCGAAATCACGGGGGCAAGTCATTGGCGATTTCCTGGCAACGAAACAAATCAACAAGCCGAAACATGTCCGCAACGAGTACCATGCCTTTGTTATGAGTGTCATTGCTCATTTGTCACAGTTCTGTCTCTTCGCCATCTTAGCCTGCTCCTCTGATACTTGAAAGCATTATGTATGAGGACAAAGTAGCGCCTGCGGTGCTGGTGTCTCCTCAAAATAGGAAACCCTTCGAGTGGGGTTCGCCTCCTTGATTTGGGCTGTGGCTGGCTTTTGCCACTATGTTTTTGGTGTAAGCATCACAACTCTCCCACGCGACAACATGCAGTGGAGAAGGCATGAATTCGCGAAGGCACCAGCTGAAAGAGCAATTTGAGGGGCCGAAACCACGCAATCACTTGCTGCCGCAAACACTGTCAGCTGAGGGCTCAATGCCACCGATGGAAAGCACGTGCACCGGACAGCACTTTCGGGCACATTTTGAGGTGTGACATCTTCTGGGCTTGCTTCATGCTGGGGGTCATGTCTGGTTGCATAGGTCCGGTGAGAAATTCCGGTCGATAAAGAGACGTATCAACTTGGTGGAAAGTTCTGGTTTTGGTCGTCCGGTCCGCCTTTGCCGAGATGACTCCAACTTCGTTCTGCCCTACAAGTCCGTGGAGGCACGGAGCGAGCTTCTGACGATTCGCTCAAGAAAAAGAGAATGTTGCGAAGGATGCCGTGCTTTTGGTTTCTTTCGGAGTGGATGACAGGGCCGAACACTTTCCAAACGGCTTTCCTAGCAAGAGGCCGGCCCTGAAAGTGTGCGACTTCTGTTTTCCTTGCATACATCTGCATGTTTAAGTGCAACACCCAGCTTTTTTTAAGGACGCTCACTCCTATTATTTTCCGGCTGACAGTTGACTTTCTTGTCCATCACTGCACCATCACTGCACCATCACTGCACCATCACTGCACCATCACTGCACCATCACTGCACCATCACTGCACCATCACTGCACCATCACTGCACCATCACTGCACCATCACTGCACCATCACTGCACCATCACTGCACCATCACTGCACCATCACTGCCCTCAAAGAAGTCTTGTGTCGTTGATCGCAATGCAATCAGTTGGAGCAATCCAAATCTGTCGGATTTCAGCTCTGATACTTGATGAGACGTGTTTCTTGGAGGCACGTGTTCGGAGGCATGAATTGGTTTTTTGCGAGCGTTATGTAGTCGGACGGGCGATCCTTCGGTGGTGACCTGCTGGGTACAGGAGGAGACACTCCTGGCTTGTGCCACCTGAGTTAGCATCTCTCCCCCCAGATTCTTTGGAGATCATGGATTGTGTGGGGATAGCCTTTGTCAGCCAGGGCTTTGACAAAAACATGCCAGTTGTCAAAAGGCGACTGATTCCACATGTCCCACCGAGCAACATGCGGGACACCAGCCATGCGGATCCAGCCGGTCGCACACTGCGTTTTCGTGTCCGCGTTTGCGACTTGGAGACGCGAGAGGTCACCACAGAAATCTGCAAGCCGCGCCTATCTTGGCCGTGACGTGTGAATGGTTGGCACAAGATTGGAACCAAGGCAAGGGCCGGGCAAAACTTTTGCGTGGTCAAGGACCCAATTGCAGCTGGGTGTTCCCAAACCGCCCCCAGCTGAACAAAGAAGGGCTGCAACGGTTGGATGTGGATGCCTCGTTTGATTGGTGGTGCCAGAACCAAGAAGGGTCTGGACATTGGAGAAACAACCACATGGGCGTTTCTCCAAATAGGAATCGGTCCCCTTTTGGGATGAAAGGAAAGATCCCTCTTGGGAAGCCCACATTCATGAGCTGCCTGAATTTGTGACTGCGAAAGCTCACCTTTAAGTCGGAGGCCTCGGTGTGCGTTCGCAGGTGATTTTCAACAATGCAAACATCTGGATGAATTTGCAAGACGAGGACCCCCGCGCGAGAGCCCAGTGTCGCAGCGGCTACGACTCACATTGAGTCGCGTGTGGATTTGGACTGCGAAAATTGGCTCCGTCGAACTACAGACTGTGGCTCTGAAAAGCGCTTCTGCCTTAGATCTCGAAATTGGGATCTGTTTCTGTGTAACAACATCTACACATTTATTTGTCAGCAGTTTAGCATTTCCGCGATTTGTTGGATGACATGATTGATCTTTCCAGGCACGTTACGGACAATTACGTGGTGCCGACAGAGCCATGAATCTCGGCTCCGGCGTGAGGACCCTATTATTCACGCAGTAAAGGACATTGCCCCATGTGGCGTACGTGTTTGCCTTTTGTTTTCTCCATCATTTTCCCTTTCAGCCAGCAACAAGGCAGCAGCATTTCGGTTCAAGGCCTGCAAACCTGAAGCTGCCCTTTCCACAGGGCTGAATTCGCCATGTGTCGTTGGTCGATACCGCCAAGCGGGGAAGCAGCTGCCACTGAGCCGGAGGCCCTTGGGTCCGAGTTTGTGCCACGTGTCGGCTCCTGTTCTGCAAAGGGGAGGCAGAAAAGATGGTCCAAAGCGGTTCGCGCTCGCTGCCTGCCCAAGTCAGGCTTGAGTGATCCGGCAAACTGCAGACAGATCTGATTGTGCCTGGGCTGCCCGCTGGCATGGCAGATAGCAAACGCGTACAAATGCGACATGTCAAATGGCTGCCAGCGATATTGCTCACGATGGAGCGCCATTGCTGGATTGACAGGGGCCGGTCGTTATTGGTGCTTGTTTGCGGCGTGTCTTTGCGGTGACAGCTGGAAGACAACACATGCGGAGCGCTGAGCAAGGCCGAGCGGCCTCAAGATTCGGCAGCGTCACTTGTGTGGCATTTCATTCTGGATGATTTTGGCTGCTTCAGCTTGATGACGGACAGGCATGTACAGATGGTGATGAACAGCCAAGAACCCGCATGACGTTGAGTTGCATCAACCATGTACCCCATGCGCCGACTCTGGGCCGCAAGATGTTGATACTGCAGGCGCACACCGCACTGAGTGGCGTCCCGGTCATTTGCACACTGTCGATGGTTTCCTCGGTCAATCGAGAAAACAGGTTGCTGCGGACGTCTTTTTTGTGAGTACTTCCTTTTGGGGGTTGGTTTAAAGGGAACCTGCAATTGACATCACACCCATTTGACTGTCTCATCCATGCATGTGGTTTGCGGCTTACAGAGGGGCCCCTCTTACTCAGCCAAACGCGGCTCGCACCCATGGAACCTTTTCCATCAGCTGGAAAACAACGTGTGCGCCTTTGAGCAGGGCGATTGCATTGGTAGCGGAGCAGGAGACGCTCCAGGCGGTGAATCTCATCAACACGATCGCGAGCCCTTCGGCCCGATCAGGGAGATCATGGAGGGCAAGGAGACGGTCCCTACCTGGGACGGTGCACCAAAGGGATGGCGCCGCTACTGCAAGGAGATCTCATGGTACGTCAGAGGCAACAAGCAGAACATGCGGAGGTACCTTGCGACTAGGCTCATCTCGAAGCTGACGGGAGCCGCAAGGTTGCTGGCGATGAGTTGGTCGCAATCGGAGTTTGACACCGAGGACGGCGTCGCGAAGTACCTCCGGAAGCTTGCAATGAGCCCTCTGGTTCGCCGCAGTATGCCGAATGCGGCGGCGATCATGAGTCAGTACTTTGCCTTCAAGAGGTACTCCAACGAGAAGGTGTCGGATTTCCTTGTGCGGGAAACTCTCGGCTTTGAAGAGTTGCAGGAGGCGCTCATCCGGTTGAAGCAGGAACGGAGCGGGGTGGACCCGAGCAAGAGAACGTTTGGGCTACCTCCCCCTGGTGATCCTGATCGTGATGAAGATCTTCAGGACTGGTGGTCTCCCAGTCAGTGGGATCGATGGAGGCAACGCGGTGGTAGCCGCGTGGACGAGACGTCGGAGGCGTCCAGCCGTCGGAAGTCATGGGGATATCAGAGGGTGTCTCAAGAGGAGGAGGTAGCTGCGGATGCAGATGATCTTCAAGAAAATCGAGCCACAGATGCGGCTGCTCAAGCCCCTCCGGCAGCAGCATCACCTCAGGCTGGACGGGATCAAGCAGCAGCTGCACCTCAACCGGTACGTCAAGAAGCTGCTGGAGATGCAGCAGGCACAGCAGATGCGGTTGAGGAGGAGCTCAACGTAATGGACTCCTTCATCATCAATGTCCTGCGGGGATGGAGGTTGCTGGTGGCAGCATCTCTGAGCCCGGAGGAATGGAGAGACATCCTGAGCAGATTTCCTACGTCGGCCCCGGGACATCATCTTCATGCTGCCGAAGCAGAGTCCTTTGTCTCGTACGTGGACGACACCGGCTATGGCGATTGGGGTGATGAATGGGGCGATGGTTGGAACAATGGATGGCAGTACTACGTTGGCTGGCAGGACGAGGACGCGAACACGTGGGAGACAGATGCCGGAGGACACGGAGATGATGCAGAGGATCCTCGCCTACAGGAGATGCACAAGGCGGAGAAGGACGCCGAGATCATGGCCATGGAAGCCAAGAGAACGTGGTCTCAAGCACAGCAAGCCACGGCGGCCATGAGACGAGAGCGTGGTTTCGCAACGCCAGTGGTGCCGGGAGCAAAAGGAAGCAGTGGTTGTTTCATCTGCGGGGGCAACCACATGGCCCGTGAATGCCCAGATAGACAGCATCCCGGTGTGAGAAAGGGAAAAGGATATGGGGGAAAGTCGTTTGGAGGCAAGAACCCGGGCAAGCACGCTCACTTCATGGACCCGGACTGGCATTGGGATTTGGCCTTCCAGAAGGGGAAGTATAAGTCGAAAGGCGCAAACTGGGCGAACGTCTACGACGCGGCCTACGCGTACCCCTTTGGCAAAGGGAAAGGCAAGTTCAAGAGCACGAAGAGTGGCCAGGTCAATGCCTATATGGCGGACTACTATGGACTGGAGATGGAAGCCGGAGCTCGTGCTCATGGAAATCTTCATGCAGCTGAAGCAAATTCTGCACGGGTGAACGCGGAGCGTAAACCCAGCCAAGGCATGCTGGACACCGGAGCCACGGCAAGTGCTGGCCCAGAAGGTGCTGTTCAAGGGCTGATCCAAGCCCTTCTGGCAAAAGACCCAGGAGCGACAATCAAGATTGACCAAAGCCGTCGCCCATACTTTCGCTTCGGGTCAGGGAAGTGGGGACGTGGAGAATATCATGTTGATCTTCACTCCACAGCATCTGGAAAACTCAGGAACTTTTCTGTGTACGTGCTTCCAAACCCCAGCAATTACCAGGATAGCGATGAGGGCAGATCCCTTCTTGTACCAGTACTTGTTGGCATGGACTTTGCGGGGGACAGCGGTACAGGCATGGTTGTGGATCTGGTGGACGGAAGTTGTGTGTTCTCGTTGATCGACCCCCATCAGCACTATCACCTTCAGCAGAATTCTAAGGGACACTACATGGTGGATCTTGTAGAGTACCTTACCGGGGGAACCTCAGTGCCGCATGGGCATGCAAATATCATTCTTGTCGAGGAACGCAAGGTGACGTTTGATCATGATATTGAAGTTCTGGAACTGCATGGATTGATGTCTGAGCAGGAGAGGGCAGAGTCCTTTCGCCTATTGCTGCAACGAAGACGGGAGCTCATTCGGACTGAACCAGCAGCGGTTGAGCTCAGACCCATGCATCAGGAACCTGAGCAGCCCCTGGGAACCCCTTCCTCGACAGCGCCGCTAGTGAGTCATGGCCGTAAAGTCGCCGGATTACCTGGAGGTGCTGGAGAAGCAGATCGCGAAGGAGAAGGAAGGGAAGCAGATGCAGGCGATGGAGAAGCATCGGGCCATGACGATGGACGGGAGAGATCCTCGAGCGTCAGGCCAGCAATGGCCATGCTATGGCGAGCACGAACCGATGCACTATCGGAGCAACAAGCGGGGAGTGTGGCTACACTGCGGCCGTTGCGCGTTGCGCCTGATCTACGTGCCGAAGAAAGGAGCTCCGTCGGACCACACGGAGGTCAAGAATCAACGGGACGTGCTGAAGGCGCTGGAGATGCTGGAGGCGGACTTCTCGAGCATGAAGGGCATCATGCCGACGGAGGAGATGGTCAGAGTGGCGATCGACAAGCACACTACCAACCAGCGCTACGCGGACGTGCTGGTCAAGTGCAAGGAGAAAGGAGTGGTGGCGAAGAAGGAGAAGGGGTATCAGACGACAGTCTCGGCACCGAAGTCCCCTTCAAGCGCCGCCGGTTCATGGGGTGTGCTCGAGGAGCCAGAGACACCCACCCTAGAGCAAGAGATTCTCAAGCGCATCACGACGGAAGAGCTCGTCAGAATCAAGGAGGTGATGCGAGAGCGTGCGATAAGCCGCCATGCGGGTGAACCTTGCGAATGATCTTGATCTCTACAAGCCCGAGACCTACGAGGTGCTGGCGAACCTGGCGGTGATCAAGAAACCCCGGAGGTTGTGGTTATCGATGCCATGTACTAAGTGGAGCACGTGGGCAAGGTTGAACTACAGAGATCGACCGGAAGTGCTGTCGAAGTTCCGACGCAGGGAAAGAAAGATGATGCGGATCTTCGCCAACTGGCTTGGACAAATGCTTGGAGCTGGTTATCGCCCGGACTACTACCACGAATGGCCAACGCACTGCGACGGGTGGAATGTACAGGAGATGGAGCAGATCCAGCGCATCCTGGTGTACCATGGCTATCGCATTTTCTGGTGTCGCATCGACGGATGTCGGTACAATTTACGCACGCGAGACAACAAGCAACTGCTGCGGAAGCAATGGACCATCATGACCACGGATGAGCGCTTCTACGCGATGTTCAGGAACAAGACATGCACCGGCGGTCATGATCATGGAGAAATTGCTGGCGGGGAGACGGCAGCGACGGCCTACTACCCGTGGAACATGTGCCGCAGCATTGCAAGACTCTGGAGGCAACAGGAAGTACCGGACAGAGTTCTCAAGAAGCTCTGGATCAAGGAGGACTTGGACATCTCGAATGAAGACTACCTGGAGGTTGTGCTTCATGCAGCTGAGGGTGAAGACGAAGAGCCAGACGCCGTTGGCGACGAGGACATCGAAGATGTGCGAGAAGAGAGACCATTGCAAAGGTGAAGAAGTTTCACGCCGCGGCGGGACATCCGGGAAACCGCAACCTGGCCCGGATGGTGAGAGACGCGGGAAGACCAGCGTGGCAGATCCGCATGGTGTTGGATTACAAATGCCCGCAATGTGAAGCACTCCGACCAGGTGGAAGTAGTTCAGGACAAGTTCCTCCGGCTTCAACAAAGCCTCTCCCGAGGGCATGGTCACAGGTTGGCATTGATATTGCGGAATGGCTGCCACCTAACAGCCAGAAGAAGTATAAGTTCATCCTCTACATGGACATGGCAACGAAGTACAAGGTGGTGGATGTTCTGAAGACCTACAACCTGGACCAGCAGCATGCGGAATCGGCGGAGGATGTCATCGCAAGCTTTGCAGCAAGGTGGCTCATGGACAAGCCCAAGCCACAGTTTGTGATCCCCGATTCGGCCAAGACACTGACATCGACGAAACTGCGGGAGTATCTCTCGGACCTCAACATTGCGCTGCAGCATCCGGCAGAGAAGGAGGGATGGGCGCATGGTGTCATCGATCAAGGACATCAAGACCACGGCTACTCTCATCCAGACGTCGTTTGCGGCTATGGACCCAGGAGTATGTCTGGCAATGGCGGCAGCAGGGCTCAACGGCACGGAGTTCGTGGAAGGATGCAGCCCCTTCCAATGGGCATTTGGCAGAAGCTACTCGCTCACGGAGGAGGACCTTCGGACCTTTGCAGGGCGGGACCCCCCGGATCTACAACAAGATCATGTGAGGTTGGTGACACAGCGTCAGCAAGCAGAAGATTGTGCGAGAAGGGCAAAAGCGCTGCGCACCTTGAGCAAGCTGCAGAACTCCAAGGTCAGGCAGCCGTTGAGAGATTTCTGGCCTACGCAGTGGGTGAAAGTCTGGAGGAGGTATATGACGCATGAGTACCACAAGGGCAAGCAGCAAGGTTTCAAGAAGACGGCGAAGCCCAGATGGATCGGGCCAGGACGTGTGCTGTTCCAAGAAGTTCTGGTGGACCAGGAAGAAGGGGACGAGAGGAGGCACATTGTCTGGGTGGTCATCGGACGCACCATCATGCGGTGCTCGGTGCATTCGGTCAGACCTCTCACGGAGGTGGAACAAGCCGTGGAGGAAATGAGGAACCAGACGAACCCCATGGAGTGGAAGAGTCTGACGGACTTGATTCCGCAGAAGGAGTACGTGGACGTGGTCCACGAGGAGCCGACGGAGGAGGACGAGGAGAAGGTTGATCTTCCTAAACAACCTGATGCCTCGACCATGGCTCCAGCACCGATGAGACGGTTGAGATGGAAACAGCCACAAATGTCGCCGGGGATCACGGAGAAAGAGGAGACGGTAGATGTGAACGACTACCAGCCAAGGTCGCTTCTGGTGGATGACGATGCTGGGATGGAGACGGAAAGCCTTTGACCATTGGTGGATCGTCGTCGGCAAGGCCACTACTACAGAGCACATCCTCAAGGGCATCGGCGGACGAAGTGAAGGAACCCGATGAGAAGCGACAAAAGACCGACCACGGAGATGGTAGTGATGAGTCGGCAAAGGACGAAGAGACGCTGCACGCGGAGCTCTTCGACGCCTTGGACGAAGTCAACGGGGGCTACTGGATGGAGCTCGACCTGAACTTCGGATCGCATCGCGACCAGAAGAACTTCGTCAGGAACCCGGTCAATTTCTTGGTGAAAAAGATGAGAGACGCGGAGGTGGTCTACAGGCATCTCTCGGAGCAGGACAAGCAGTTGTTCGATCGGGCCAAGTCGAAGGAAGTGAAGAGCTTCCTGGCGCAGGAGGCGGTGCGACGGTGCCTGGACAAGGCAGAGGAGGACGAAGCGCGGCAATCGAGTGCTTGGATGTCGGTGGGTGCTCACATGGAAGGTCATTCCACCGGAGGAGCAGGAGGAAGCCCAGAAGGCCGTGACCCTCAAGTACTACCATCACGGCAGACGCGTCCAAAAAGGCCAAAGCACGAATCGTGCTTCTTGGGTTTCAACATCCAGATCTGCTGGATGAAGGTCACAAGACGGCGTCGCCAGTGCAGTCTACCCTGGCACGGTATTTAACCTTCCAGCTGGTGGCCCAGCGCAAGTGGGATCTGGAAGGCCTTGACCTTTCGACGGCCTTCCTACAGACGTCAAAGACCATGGAGAAGGAACGGTTGTGGACCACTGGGACACCGGAGCTCAAGGAGGCTTTGGGCGTGGACAACAATGGTCTTCTGCGGTTGCTGAAGGATATCTACGGAAGCGCGACAGCCCCAAGAAACTTGTGGCAGGAATTGGACCGCAAGCTGACCGGCATGGGCGGCATCCGGATCTGGGGAGACTCGTGTCTGTGGGTCTGGATCGAGGAGAACGAGTCCCCTCGAAATGAGTGGGACCGCTACACGACCATTGGCTTCATGGGTGGTCACGTGGATGACTTCAACCGGGGAGGAGACCTTCGTAATGAACGATGGCTGGAGATCCGCAAGAAGATCGACGAGAAGTTCAAACGGGGAAAGGTGAGGTTGAACTCCTACCGGCACATTGGCGTCGATGTGAATGTGATTGATCAGGGTGAGCAGTTCTACGTGGAGCTGGAACAGAAGCACTACGCGGAGACATTGGAGGATTTGGGCATTGAGCAGAAGTGGCTACGATCCAATGAGGAGATGCACTAGGTGCAGTGCAGTGGCTTGCGGTGCAGAGTGCCTCGTTGCTATGCGCTCGCTGCAACCTGCTTCTGTCAGACTTGCGGAAAGCCCAAGATGGAGGTGGCAAAGGAAGTGCAGGACCTGATCAAGGAAGCGCGGACCTCGACATCCACATCACTGAGATTTCATCACTTCAACGACGTGGAGCACTGGCAGGACATGACCATCGTCGGAATGGCAGACCAGGCGCACGCAAACAGGCCCAAGGGTGAGTCCACTGGAGGCCTGTTGGTGTTGATGGGCGGCAAGAGCATCAGAGAGGGCAAGACCTCTACCTTGTCGCTGGTGATGTGGCGAACATGGAAGTTGCGACGAGTGGCCATCTCGTCAAATGATGGAGAGATCCAATCCATCCTGGAGGGCGAGGACAACGCCTATCGCGTTCGCCTTATGTGGGCGCAGCTGAATGGCTGCTGCGGCTTCAACGACTCCAAGGACATTCTGGAGGTGGCTGACGCGATGGTGGCGACCATTCCCGGGCTGCTGGCGACAGACAGCAAGGGTGCCTACGATGCGGTGGAGCTGAACGAAGGGCCGTTGCTTGGCCTCTCGAATATCAGGGCTGCTCTGCAGGCGTATCAACTGCGCCAACAAATGAAGAAGGTTGGCACCAAGTTGCTTTGGTTGGCCAGTGACTGGAATCTCGCGGACTGCATGACGAAGAAGAACAAGACGGCAAGGCAGTCCATGATCCAATTTTTGAGGACGTGGGTCTGGCAGCTGAAGTTCGACCCGAACTTCATCATCTCGGCGAAGAAGTCGGCCAAAACAGGCCATAGTGCGCTAGACACCATGCGCAAGGGCCTCACAAAGCCCAGCGGATGAACAGTCAACTTTTCTTTTGGGCTGGTGCAATTGACATCACACCCATTTGACTGTCTCATCCATGCATGTGGTTTGCGGCTTACAGAGGGGCCCCTCTTACTCAGCCAAACGCGGCTCGCACCCATGGAACCTTTTCCATCAGCTGGAAAACAACGTGTGCGCCTTTGAGAAGGGCGATTGCAGAACCCAAAGGTAGAACCACCATTTCAGGGGTCCCCATTGTAAGACACAGCCATCTGACGTGAGTCGAGATTGCTGAGGCTTCACGGTCATGAAGTTTCGCAGCTTCAGATCGGATTCGCTCTGAGGCTTCATCTTCTGGGATTTGGCCAGCAAGGACTACTGGCAACCCTTTGTGCCCAAGGTGCCAAGTGGGGGGTTGTTGACCGCTCGTGTTTTGCGTGCAGAACACCATGGCCAGAAGGGCTTCTTGATGTTTCGGTTCTTTCCGTCTTTCAGTCTTTCTGTCTTTTTGTCTTTCTTTCTTTCTTTCTTTCTTTCTTTCTTTCTTTGTTGCTTTCTTTCTGTCTGTCTGTCTGTCTTTCTTCTTTCTTCGCATTTTCTTCTTTTGCTTCTTTGTTTCTCCCTTCTTGTCCTTCTTATTTGCTTCTCTGTTCTCTTTTTCTTTGTTTTCTCATTTGGTCCCCTCTCGTGCTTCCAGCTTTGGGGCGTGGGTGAATCGATGCTAGTACAGCAGGTTTTGTTGGCTGGGGCCGTCGCTTCTCGAACTCCGGGACTCCAATGGAAAACGCGCAGGGCGCCTTTTGCTTCCACAGCCCTCCCAAGGGTTCTGTTTTTTGTTTTTTTTTCTCTTTTTTTTTTCTTCCTTCCTTTTTTTCCCCCCCGGTTTTCAGGCACAGGCAAGGCCAACTGCAAAGGTCGTTCGTGTTGGCGTACAGTCGAGTCCACACGCGCGTGTTCGAGGTTTGGAAGAGGAGTGTCTCAGAACTGATTGGGCCGTACTGGTTTGCTGGTTTCCCCAATAGCTGAATTCTTTTTACCTGGTATTTCAGTGCTTCTTTTCCTGGTGTGTTTCTTGTATTTTCGATCCCTGTGTGTCTTGGACGTCGCGCTGCTTGGTCGCTATATATATAATTATATATATATATATAGAGAAAAATATATTTACACCCCATGTGTCGCAAGACACCCGCTGGCATCTTGCTGCTTTGCAAGTTGGGCGTCTCGGATGCATTTTTCCAACGCAATTCTGAACGAGTATCTCCAAGCTGCTCTTTGTTTCGCAGGGGTCAGCCCCCCGCCGTTCGGTTGCTTGGTATGCTTCCAGGTCGTTGCTTTGGCATCTTCCCAAATGAGAATATAAATAAATTCGGATTGGCAATCCATGTTGAACAGAGTGGAACCGGTGTCGCCTTGGATTTGAGCCTTTTGGACGAAACCCAACTCGTCTTTCGTTTGGGCCCGCTCTTTCAGCCCACTCTTCCCTTGGCCGACTCTCGGGCTCAGTGAACCCTTCATCCCATCTCTAGACCTTTCCCTATGTTTTCGACCGTGGGTTTGAAACCCCATAGAACTTTTCCTCGGACCCCCCAAAAAACACACCCGGCCCGGCCGCTTCCGTCCGGGAAAGAGCTGGTTGGTGCTCGGGAAATCCCCTACGGAAGGGGATTTCCGAATGAAGGCAACCGCCGATCTCCTCGTCAATTCTCACTCCCTGCCTATGGCAAGCGGCAAGTTTTCCACCGACCAAGATCCTGGGTTTTCCTCTTGGTTTCCCTTTCAAACCAACCCAAAGGGGTACCAACCCGGAAAAAAGAAGACACGCCTCTTCTCTTCGGTCTTCCGAAACAGGCCGGGGCCATCACCTTGGCCCTCTTTGCTTTTTGCTTCTCTTGGCTCCCGAAGGCCATGCGGTCCCTCAGCTTTTGAGCCTAGTGTGTGGTAGTTTCCGTATTTTAACCCACTAAAAGTTCGTCACTTTGAGTCAGAGGGCCCCAGCGGTTTGGTTTCAAGCCCAGAGTTGGTACCCACCGCTTCGCGGCTGCGAAGGTGGCCGGCCTGCGGCCCTGCTTCAGCTCCTGCCGCTTTCCCATGGCCGGCGCGGCGCCCTCCGCGCTGGTTCGGGATGAGTCAACCGTATGCGGGTGGGTTCATGATGTGTTTCTTTTTCTTCTTGTTTTTTTTCTTCTCCGTATATATACACACACATGCAAGTATGCACCTGCTATATATATATATATACAAACATGTACACATGCATGATATGCATGAATATACATGTACACGTGGGTGTTCTAAAGTTCGGGACATAAAGATAGGGAGGACCAGCCACAATTGCATACTACTGGTATCAAGAAACAACACACATATCCATGTTGCAATTTTGAGTTTCAGTGGTGGCAGGTTCATAGTTTAGCCAGAACTTCAGGTTACTCCAGCCATAGATCACGGGTTCATACTAGAAATTCATGGATTTTCATGTAAACTTTCTTGTCTGAACCGCAAAGCAGCTCAAGCCTTTAAGGGTACAATCAAACCGTACCCGCAGTGGATAGATGTTGTGTGTGTGTGTGTTTCGAAGGTACCATTTTCAGCTTGGCTTAAAGGGCCGCCAAAAGGAAGCCCAAAAGAATTCACTTTTGGACGCATACCTAGATGGGAGTTTCTCACAACGAAATCCATTTTTGGACTCCGAGCTCATTCTTGCACCTACCCAGCTGGGAGCAACATTTCTTTTTGGTATTTGAAGGGAGACAGCATTTTGGACACATACCCAAATGGGGCTTCTTTTTTGGGTGTGTGCTTTTTTGGAAGGGAGACCGAAAAAGGACACCGATGTTGCCATTTTTCCCCAGATAGTTGAAAGCTATAGGGGTTTATAAAGAGGGGAACGTGATTTGCGAGATTGACGGCTGGGTGCTAGGATGCAGTCGGTGGTCCCCGATTTCGCCGTTTCATTTCCACATGTGATTAGCCATGGTTCATATCATCATCAGGAACGTCGCGTTAGTGACCGACCTGTGGTATTATGGCTCAAGTTTTGGGTTCCGTCGCGCCTCGAATGGGCGTCGCCGAGCCCCTGCGTCGACCGACGGCATCTCGGGGGAGAAAGAGACCTCGGGCCGCCGCCAGGTTGGTAGGGACCAGTCGTGCGGCCTGTTGTCGACCAAGGTTGCGGGTTAACCCTTTTCTTGTTTGGTTTGTTTTCCTTTGGTTGTTGTTCTCTGGTGTGTGGGAAACCCTGATCTTTGGGACCGGGGATTGGTTTGCTTTTGGGGAACCTTTCTTTTGTGGCTTGTTTACCCCAACTTACCCATTGCCTGGGCACAGGCTCGTGCCCGAATCACAGGTTATCAGCCGTAGGACTTTCCTACGCGCTTGAGACCATCAACTACAAGCTCTATGTCGACCCCACGATCTCGAAGGAGCGTCGTGGATGAGGAGGCCATCCTAGGTGGCCTCCGCTCAGGTGAGGACCTACCGGACTATGACTACGAGGATTTCGAAGCAGGTTCGACAGGTCAGGACCGCAGGGGTGAAGATCCCGGTAGGGATACACCCAGGGGCCGTGGCAGGTACGCCGACGATGGAGACGATCGTATTTTCCGCCAGGCCACTGATGACGAGCAGACACGAAGGGTTTACTCCGGTAGGAGTGGCTCTGAATCAGGTCACAGGCGTGGACATTTTGACTTCACCAGCATGGCGATGGACATGGCCCGCCCTCATTCGGATGACCCGGAGGCCATGCCGATTCGACCTCCGAGATCTCTTGTTCCAGGTGAGTCGCAGGTCTCGGATGAGTTTGAGAGTAGGCCGCAGGGACCAGGGACTATGGTTCTGGTTCCGGGAGGTATCCCGGGCCGATCCACTGGTTCTCAGAATCCAGGTCAGTTTGATGAGCACGAGGAGCGGAAGTTCTCAGACTTCGGATACGATGATCTGTTGAAATCAACCGCAGGTTGGGGCAGTAGCTCAAAGCAGGGATCTGATGCCGGTAGGCTCAACCCTAATGCTGCCAAATCTGAGTCTTATGATGGCGAAGGTTACAATTTTGCGGATGAGGAGGAGAGCCATTCGCGCCGAGATGCAGGCAGCCGTGAGACTGCAAGGACTAGTCCCGCCGCTGCCAAGTTTGAGGTCGATGATGATGACGAGTATGCCGCGTTTGCGGATCGCCGTGATGAGGAGGAGGACCAACCACGACGAAATGCTAGGATCCGTGATGCTGCGAGGCCCAGGAGCCTCTCTCGTGGAGCCGCCAGGGACCTTCGCGTTGACAGGGATGCCCGAAGCGAGAGAGAGAGAGCCAGGGACAGTCGGGAAGTTCTTCGGGGATTGGAGGCCATCCATGACCGTGAGGGACCGGTAGGTCCCCCGGCGATTGGTGATACCCCGAATGTTCCCCCTTTTCCCAACATTACGTTTGGAGGTCCGTTAAATCAGAGAGACGTGAACTCGAACCGGGTTACTGGTTCGCCGAGAGTCACTGAGCGGGTTGCCGATGTCGTTGGGAGAGGTGCAAGAGATGGCCGGCTTGCCGATGCACTCGGAATCGAGGATCGTCCGTCGATCGCTAGCCCGTTAGGGCGAGATACCAGTGACCTTGAAACGCTAAGGTCCAGCAACGAGTTCACACCTCAATGGGGCTCGACCGCCAGGGAACGTAGTGCTTCTGCGAAGAGACCGTCACCCCTGGCCATTGAGACCGATAGGTCGAAGGCGAGGAGGGCTAGCCCCTCACCAATGGCCTCAACTCCGCAGGATGAGGAGATGCCTGATCCTGCTGATGTTCACATTCACTCTACTCCCGAGTCTCGTGCGTCCCATGTTGATCCCCGTTCCGGCGATAGCCGTAGAAGGGGTTCTACCCCTAGCAGGCCATCTGGGGTTGGTGATAGTCCTGTGGATGACCCCAGAAGATATGCTAGAGCTAGTGGGGCTCCTGAGAGGATCGAGATATCGACTCCTCCAGCACTCAGGTCTCATTCTTCCGGTGAATCAGGTGACGCTAGGGCAAAGGAGGTGTTCGATTTGCACATCCAGGAGATGCTCGAGAGAGGTGAGGTTTCTGGCTCAGTTGCGAAAGCTTTCCATATTTTTGCTGACCAGATCAGGTTACTGAACGGTCAAGTGAGTTCCATGCGAAGGGAATGGAGAGACGAGAATCAACAGACGAAGGACAAGGTCGATCGACTGGCAGCTGAGGTTGCGACCCAATCTGATGCCGGGAGGATGCGAATGATAGTTCAACGGTTCGCAAGGGAAGTCATTCCCGATAGCAAGGCCATTGTGAGGCAAGCCATCGATGAGCAAGCCGAGGTCGTGGAGCAGAGGATTAACCTACTGTCCCACGAGGTCCATGAATCTGTCAGGGACAATGAGGCATCGACTGATCGGCTTCGCCTGATGATTCAGGAGAATAATGAGGCTGCCCGCAGAAGCCATGCTGCTTCTGAGGACGAGATCCTTAAGGATTTGGACAAGCTTGAGAAACGGATGTTCTCGGTAGAGAAAACCGTTGGGATGCGGACACCGGCAGGTGTATGGAACCCGAATCCTGTCGCGCATCCGTCCGATAGGGCCAGCGGCAGTGTAGTCGATGCAAATTTCAGGGAGTTAAACCTGAAGATCGAGAAAGCTCTCCTTGATCACGAAACGTTTGCCAAGTGGGCCTCTGAATCTATTGAAGGGGTCAAAGAAGAGCACACTCGTCTTGTTAATCGAGTGTCTAGACTGCAGAGTGGAAGGGGTTCTCAGGAGGTCGATAGACCATCAGGGCATGATTCCCCGCAGGACTGGCATGAGGCTGTTGACGAGATCAATCGGAAGATGCAGGATCTGGCTCGTGGAATTCAACGTCAACGTCGGGATCATGACGACATCATTTCGAGGTTTGAAACCGTGAAGTCACATGTTGAACAGTATGAAGCGAGATCGGCAGTTGTGAATCGGGTCGTTGATGGCATCCAAGGACAGATCCGTAATCTTCCTGCCAGCAGTGACCAAGTGCAGCCTGCCGTTAGGCGAGAGCTCGGCACATTCCGGAGTACACTTGAAGGTGTTATGCGGAGAGTCAGCGCTATCGATGGTAACGTGCGTAACCTTAGCGCCGCGAACAACAGAATCATGTCCCAGCTCTTTGAGATGGAGGGTCAATTTGACGAGGCTGCTGGCATTATTCAGGGTGTCCAGCAGATTAATGAAGCTCCTCCACAACCCAGAGAAAGACGGAATGTTGGTTACCATGCATTTGCGGGGCAAGGACATAGGATCAGGTCACCGACGCCTACACCAGGGGAAGGTGACGGCCGGGGTACTGGCCTGCCGGTGAGACCAGGCGGAGGCGTTGTTTTGCCTGATCATGTTTTGCCGAATGTGCCCGATAGGGTCGATCCTTCTCGCGCAGACAGGCATCCCATCTATCCCGTTAGGGAGAGGTCCGACAGCAGGAGCAGGAGGGTTCGGGGGTTGCCTGACAGGTCGCATTCGCCACCGGAGCGTGCAAGGGGTGGTCCCCGCGCGCGCGCAAGGGGGGACGTTTCTATTTCCCCCAATAGGGATGCGGGTAGGAATAGGAGCCCGAGGCCTGCTGCCGTCCCCGATAGGGGATCTGAGGTCCGGAGTCGACAACCGAGGGGGGAGAGGCCGATCCGCGATAGCGGGAGCGTCTCTCCGAATTTTGATAGGCCAATCCGCGATAGCGGGAACGTCTCTCCGAACCCAGGTCGTCATTCAGGAGGTGGTGGGGATAATAGGGTCCATGCCGACATCCAGAGTCCTGGTGATGAGTGGAGGACTCCTGGGAGCAGAGTCAGCGCCGACACCCAGAGTCCCGGCGATAGGCGAGGGACTGCTGGAGCTCCTTCGGATCGTGGACAGGCCTCAGCGCCGGCTGCAAGAGGGGCTCCCGGCGGTGATGGCCCAGACGCGCCAAAGATTTGTGCCCTCGATGATCCCAACGACCGTAGGCACCCGAATGCTGAATTCTCGTGTGTGACATGCAGTCGTGAGTTCTGCGGGCTTTGCCGTGGTGACGACGGGGACTGTTGCAATTGTCAGTTCCTGAAGATGAAATGCTGGGCATGCCGCAAGAAT